TCTAATTTTATATGTGATGCATGTGATGTATTATTTTGCCTAAAGTGTTCGAATACTTTCAGACGTTTATAATAATTGCATATACAAATGACTTCCCTATGTCAACAAAAATTGGCCTATCAGAAGAACTACAATTAATATATACATGACACACACACCCACTTTATTTCCTAAGCAAATCTACTTACATAATACATCATATCTGTCCAGCCCTCCATAGTTATACACTGGAACACTGTTAACATTGCGAGGCCAAAATTATCGAAGTTCGTGATGCCATAGTTGGGTCCTTCCCAGCCGTCTCGACACACATAAAATTGGCCATCCTTATTTAGATCGGAACAGCTGAAGCCCGCCGTCCCGTTGTCGCACGGATGAGGGTTTTCCATGCGGTTACCTGCCGATTCAAACGGTTTGTCAACAAGGCGGCAATAAAATCGATGATAATGGCGCAAAATTGAAGGAATAAAAAATACATATTGATAATAAAGGGCGAATGGAAACAGATTTCAAGTAGATTGTGTGATTCATTATTCTGGGCTTACTATTTCTTGTAAAGGGATCTTTCGGCAGAAGTCTTAGCCTCAGAAATAATAAAAAGGTTTTGGACTAAGGAAATGTAATGGAGCAGCGGTTTTAGTAAGGACACGCTTTTCAAATGCATTTTCTTATCTTCAACTTATAAATGTATATATAATATAAATATAAATATATATACATATATGTATGGATAATACACACACACCACACACACACACACACACACACACACACACACACACACACACACATATACATATACAATATATATATATATATATATACATATATATATATATATATATATATATATATATATATATATATATATATATATACATATGTGTGTGTGTGTGTGTGTGGTGTGTGTGTGTGTGTGTGTGTGTGTGTGTGTGTGTGCGCGTGTGCGTGAGTGAGTGAGTGAGTGAGTGAGTGAGTGAGTGAGTGAGTGAGTTTGAGTGTGAGTGTGAGTGAGTGTGAGTGTGAGTGTGAGTGTGAGTGTGTGTGTGTGTGTGTGTGTGTGTGTGTGTGTGTGTGTGTGTGTGTGTGTGTATGTGTGTGTGTGTGTGTGTGTGTGTGTGTGTGTGTGTGTGTGTGTGTGTGTGTGTGTGTGTGTGTGTGTGTGTGGTAGTGTGTGTATGTGTGTGTGTGTGTGTGTGTGTGTGTGTGTGTGTGTGTGTGTGTGTGTGTGTGTGTGTGTGTGTGTGTGTGTGTGCGCGCGCGCGCGCAGTGCGTGTACATATGCGTGTGTACAAATACGACCCCACGCACCAGCTACTTGCTGCCTCACCTGTTTCATTATTATAGCAGGTAAAATGGAGCGCGCCGGAGAAAAGCTCCAGCCCGATGATAGCGTAGATGATGATGACGAACATGACGAGAAGAGCGATGTTGAGCAGCGGCACCATAGCCTTCACGATGGAGTTCAACACCACCTGAAGACCTGGAACGAGATTGTTTCGTGAATGCGGAGGAACGGGAGGAAAACGGATAAGAATACTGGTGATATTCATGGTCAGGATTGCAGTAGCGGTGGTTCAATAAGGAAATGATAAAGTTGAAGGAAAGAATTATTTCTTCAACTTGTTATAGGGTTTTGATTGCTGTTAAGTATTGGTAAAAGACATCCAATCCAACACTAGAATGAAATTAATAGCCTTTGTAATGAGTCAAGACAACTAAAATCAAGAAGACTTCTGGGTTGTCGGGTCAGAATCATTGCAATCAATTCATTCATGTTTAATCTCGGCTCTCGGCCGCCGCAGAGCACGAGGACTGAGGACGTACTTGGGACTCCTGACACAAGTCTGAGAGGACGCAGGACTCGGAAGGCCCTGAGCGCCTTGACGTCGAAGCTCGCTTCGCCGCCCTCCCCCTGCATGAGGAAGTCTAGTGCGCCGCTTATCAAACTGCAAATCGGAGGCACATTTAAATTGGGTTCACTCAAAATGTTTGTTCTCTACCACATAAACGCCGTCGTTTGATTGACTGCAGCACGCAGACGTTACCGACAGCAATATTTTATCATACCTAAGAAACATTTGACGTGCGGACCTCATATACGATGCATATTTTGAAAGCAAAATGATATGTTTCGAAAGACTAATCCACTCACCCAATGACGACGATGAGAAAATCGAGAAAGTTCCATACTGAACGTATATACGCCCCCTGGTGGAGGGCGAACCCGTAGGCTATAATCTTCATAAAACATTCTACCGTAAATATTACCATAAAGATAATCTCGATTTGTTCCTGCGAAAGAAAGGAAGTCATTATTCTCACAAGAAAGACACATTATACATTCGCATTTGATGAAGAAAGATGAAAGGTGGGTTTATGAGGTATTATTGATCATGATGTGCTCCCGCTCGAAAGGCTCACGAAACCCGAGTGCTTAAAGATGTTTTAACAACGGACTGCGCAACCAGGGGCGGGCCAGCGCCTGGGACACACTTCT